TTCTGAGTATCATCCTCATGACAGATCATAACTGAACAGCTGGTCCTTTTCACCATCATTATCCATTTGTTTCTATCATCTGCCAGCCTTTTCGCTTCGATCTTGAATATGAAACATAATGAACACGAAGGAAAAGTGGACCGGATATATGGCAATGCGCTTCAAATGTATATACGGTAGTGGGTGAGTCTATCGTAGATATGATAGTGAGTCGAGAATCTCCAGCAATGATTTCCTAAGCAACTACTCCCCTGGGGAAGGATCATGGGTCAGCCTCCCCAGTTTAAAGATCCAGTCAGCTACATGATGTCAGTAGTTCGTCAAACACCGCATCTGTATTTATAAATAGATATAGGAATATAAATGAGTGTAAAAGAATATATAAATAGAGATGAATATATATATATACATACACACATGCACACATTTACACATATATATGTACCGTCCATGTAACTCAGCCAACTTAGTACCGGCCCCAATCCTAGGTAAATAAAATGGGAAGAGCATCCGGTCAAAACAAAAAAAAAAAAAAAAAAAAAATAGAACCAGGTTATACAGGTATATCTACCCCTTATAAAAAAAAAAAGCTACAGCAAAAGAAGAGTGTATGCGCCGTGTGTGTGTGCGTGTACGTGTGCGTAGGTGTCTCTGTCTATCTACCTCAGGGTGGAATTCTACGGACACAAATGTTCAAAGTGTACAAAGTCTACAAGTTGTAAGACCACAGAAAATGGATAGACCATTTCCCAACTTCAACACCTAAAGCACAGGGAGTGTGTATGTTAACAGTATAACAATATATATATACATATATATATATATTATATATATACTCTCTCTCTCTCTCTCTCTCTCTCTCTCTCTGTCTCTCTCTCTCTCTCTCTCTCTCTCTTGCCTGATTGGATGCCCTTAATCAACAGCAGCTCGGCGCACTGAACACCTGTGTTACGGCGGCGACTTTCCCTACGACCCCTGCGTTTGACTTCTCAAGGTGATATATCGTTCAAAGTGTACAAAGTCTACAAGTTGTAAGACCACAGAAAATGGATAGACCATTTCCCAACTTCAACACCTAAAGCACAGGGAGTGTGTATGTTAACAGTATAAAAATATATATATACATATATATATATTATATATATACTCTCTCTCTCTCTCTCTCTCTCTCTCTCTCTCTCTCTCTCTCTCTCTCTCTCTCTCTCTCTCTCTCTCTCTCTCTCTCTCTCTCTTGCCTGATTGGATGCCCTTAATCAACAGCAGTTCGGCGCACTGAACACCTGTGTTACGGCGGCGACTTTCCCTACGACCCCTGCGTTTGACTTCTCAAGGTGATATATCGTTTTCTCGCCGTGAGATGTATATATATATATATATATATATATATATATATATATATATATATATATATATATATACATATATATTGTTATACTGTTATGTATATATATATATATATATATATATATATATATATATATATATATATATATATATATATATATATTATATATTATTTTTTTCCCGATATTGGAATGTAACAATGTAACTTCCTTTTCAACTTACACAAAAGTATGTTCTCCAAATCTGAGATCGCGGCACAAATAACAAAAACAAAACAAAACTATTGTTCAAAGGCTTGGACAATACGCCTCCCATAAATTGGAAAATAAGTTATCAAAAAGTAAATTTAGTATGATTATCGATGACACGACAGATTGTACCTCAGGGAAAACAGGCGCTGTAGTGTCACGGTATGTTGATGAGGATCAGAAAGTCATGAAGAAAGCAATGTTCGAACTTGCAAACTAGTTTATGAGGGTCAGGAGGCCTAGGGAAGAGTTACATAAGAAGCATATTATCAGTCTTCCTCTTTCTGGGCCATCACCGAAGTGTTTATATATTGAAATTGTCGAACAATTCGGTGTACCTCGAGCTTGTTTACCTTCAGTTTTACCGCTTAGGCCAAGGTTTTCTGATGTGCCTATACGAGGAATTTAAGTTATCGTACTTGGATCTATTCTAGAAGCTCGCGTCCCTGTTCGACGCTTTTAACCCTAACTTTGCTTGATATTCCCTTGTCCAGCCTTATAGGATTTGCGTCTGATGGGGTATCTAATATAATGACCACTGTTAGTTAGGAGTGTAAGCAGTCGCCATCGAGATAGTTTCCCAGGAATTTCCTTTTTGAAATGTGTATCTCACTGTCTCCACATATACGCAAAAGAGGCATTAAAATCTGCGCTAAGCGTAAGTACGAGTTAAAACAAAAACAAAATTTACGCTATTGCCGTTTATCTCATTAAGAGTGAACGTAATCTAACATTCATTCGTATATGATAGTATATGATAGTATTATTATTTACATCCGTTTTCTTTCTCATCTAATGTTTAGAGACGGTCAGCTCTGCTCCGTCTGTCGGTTTGCCTTTTTTCGCAAAATTGTATAATATGTAGATATCATTGTATCGTATTAAGCAAATTCTAGATTGAAAGTAAG